CCTATTATATTTTATATAAAAAAATATAATTGTAAATATTTATTTTATCATGTAATATTTATATTATATTTTTTTTACAAATGTTAAAAATATAATATAAATATATATAAAAATATTTTAAAAAATTAATAGATTTATTATAAATATAACATATACAAATATAAAAATATATTCAATTATTTCTATATTTTATATATATTAAAGTATATTTACTTTTAAATTAAATAACATTTTTAAAGTAAGCTAAGCAGAATGAGGTTACGTTGCTGGAGCTCATGCTGCATTCAAGTCCCTCTGGGAAATTCTTTATTAATGAGTTCAGGAATCATAATTACTAACCCTAAAGAAGTTCAATGACTTATTTTGATCAACACTAATTAGTTCCACCATGATATTTTTAATTGATAAGCTTCCAACCAGAAAATCCTGGATGATCCGGCTGATGCTCAGCTCATAAATCTGATTCCTCCATCCTGACATGACGGCAGCGTCAGACTGTACTTCTCTTGTACTGATTAGAGATTTCAAGGCTGAAACAGAGTCAGAAGTGTGTGTTAATGGCTTTTAACCCAGAACACACAGACGGTCAGAATCAAGGACTCATTCAGCGTCTCGGCTTTGATTCGTCCCTCACAGGTTTCAAAGGGTGAGATGGTGTTATCGATCCGTCCGCTCTTCAGACACTTCGGCCCATTTCTGATCACTAACAGCCTCTGTGTTCACTGTGCTTCACTGTGCTTTACTGTGCTTCACTCTGTTCACTGTGCTTTACTGTGCTTCACTCTGTTCACTGTGCTTTACTGTGCTTCACTGTGTTCACTGTGCTTTACCGTGTTCACTTTGCTTTACTGTGCTTCACTGTGCTTTACTGTGTTCACTGTGCTTCACTGTGTTTTACTGTGCTTTACTGTGTTCACTGTGCTTCACTGTTCACTGTGCTTCACTGTGTTCACTGTGCTTTACTGTGTTTTACTGTGCTTCACTGTGTTCACTTTGCTTTACTGTGCTTCACTGTGTTCACTGTGCTTCACTGTGCTTCACTTGCTTCACTGTGTTCACTCTTCACTCTGTTCACTGTGCTTTACTGTGCTTCACTGTGTTCACTGTGCTTTACTGTGCTTCACTGTGCTTCACTGTGCTTTACTGTGCTTCACTGTGCTTTACTGTGCTTCACTGTGTTCACTGTGCTTTACTGTGCTTCACTGTGCTTCACTGTCTTCACTGTGCTTCACTGTGTTCACTGCTTCACTGCTTCACTGTGTTCACTGTGTTGACTGTGCTTTACTGTGCTTCATTGTGTTCACTGTGTTCACTGCTTCACTGTGTTCACTACTTCACTGTGTTCACTGTG